GTCCTTGCGCCGAAATGGTGGAACGAGCTCTCTGAAGACATCAGGACCGCAGAGAGCCTTCACATCTTCCGCCGCAATCTAAAGACACACCTCTTCAGACTCTACCTCGACTAAAGACTAACAAATTGTAGCACTTAAATTGTACTTATAACGCCACTCATCTATAGTAACTTGTAAATTGGCTTATTTGAGGAAATTGCACTTTCTTGTTTCTTGTTCTGAGTTTGTATCCTTATGGTTGAATGCACTTATTGTAAGTCGCTTTGGATAAAAGCGTCCGCTAAATGACATGTAATGTAATGTCTACTTATTAGGAAATACTGTTTTAATTTCTTTTAATATGATTGTTTTATGTGTTGGTTTTATTGCTGTTCATGTGCTAAATGTGCTGGTTTTACTGTAAAGCAGTTGTGCCCAACCAGTCTACCGGTCTACCAGTCAATCGCGGGCTGAGTTGCAGTCGATCGCGAGAAAGTTTGTGTCACTCATGTGTTGTGTATAGCCTACTCCTACTGTTGTGTCAAATACTGTGGCGTAGTGTTGACGAACTGACCGAAGAGCCAGTTAAATAACCCGATTAAGAGACTCCTGTACAGTTGGTGGCGGTATACTACAGAGATGGTCATCTACCAAAAAACAAAAGAAGAAGAAAAGAACCGTAGTTGTTGAAGTGTTGTGGAAGCACGGTTGCGGTGTGACCGTGAGAGCAACTCGGATTGTTCCCGGTGACGGTTGACTTAATTACTGAATGCTGTACTACTGACGCGGAGAGCCAATCCCATGAGCCATTGTATGTATAAGTGCATCGAATAAAACGCTGTGATATAATTTTGCTATTTAATGTTTGTGTTTACAAAACACCATTTTGAAACAGTCAACTGTTGACACGGGCTGTCATGAGACCGCACCAGCCACTGAAGGAGAAACGTAACCGAAGGCTACTGCATGACTCTGTAATCACACGGTCTCTGCCTGTTTGTGATCAACCGATCGGTCTCCCAATTTTTTTGGCGTGAGAAATCTGAGGTGTGGCGTGAGAGCGTGTGAAACCGTTCAAATGCGTGAGTCTCACGGCCAAAGCGTGAGAGTTGGCAGCCCAGCTCTATGCATATAGTGTACACCAGAATACAGCCATGATTCTGAAACTGTGTAATCAATAAAGTAAAGACAATATTGTAAAACCACTGTAATTCTGCAACTGTAATAGAATAATACCAATGCAGCTATGATTGTATTTGATGTAATGTAATCAACTTGAATGCATGTAATACTTGAACAACAACTGATATTGACTAAGGGTCATTCGAAATCCGAGTCACATTGAACTCACCAGAAGACTCCCAGAGGTGTGGACACTGACTTTCACACCTTTAAGCATTGTTATAAATACCTGTAGGAGCCATTGTTCTGGAGTTCACTGGTGGAGGCGACAGACGGGCACTAGGGATGGTCAAAGGACTGACCTGGGGCCTGTTGGTTGCTGAGACCAGCGGCTCCTCAGCTGAGATGTTCTTTTTACCACAACACCATCTCTTTTATTAAATACATTTGATTTAACCTTTTGATCTGCGATGACCTCTGTCCGTCCAGCGTTTCTTCATTTTTGAATACAACACTATCTCTGTTTTCCATTCGGGGAAAATGTAGATGTGGACTGTATAACGTCCAAAGTGGCATCACTCTTCAACCTTGATAGCTGTGCTATTGAGAATGAGATCCTCACACTGAACAATGACATTGAGCTCAAATCCAGAGCAACCCCTGACATGAATGTCCAATTCTGGAATCTAATGCAGAAAGAGAAGTACCCCAACCTCAGACAACTGCAGAGAATTTGACTGCACTTTTTTGGATCAACATATTTGTGTTAGTCTGCCCGGAACCTGCAAGAGAGACAGACAGACACACCAACGGCAGAGGCCCTTGGGGCCGTCACAAGGCTTCAGTTCCATCTTACAGAATCGACACTTGTGACCTGTGGACCCCAGTTCTCTTCCTCTTCTGCGGTCCTTTCTCTGCCACCCTTTTCTGTGTGGCATCCAGTTCTAGCTGAAAGAACTTTGTCTCCAAAAGGCATTTTGGGGTTTGTCAGACCTTCAGCACCATAAGTTTCTTTGCAGTAGAAATATCGGACCGGGCCCTGCTGGTAGAAGAAGTGGATTGAAGAACCATCATTTTCATACCTGGACTTTGGCTGGCCACAGGAAAGACACCTTTTCGTGTGTCCCTTCTTTTTCCCCGGTTGTTGTTGTTGTCATTCCTGTTGCTGTTTATATTGCTGCTGCTTTTCCATGATGTTGAGTACAATCTTCAATCTAGAGCAGAGGTCTTCAACAGGGGGTCCGCGGAGGTACTGCAGGGGGGTCGCGAAATTTTTGGTTGGTAAGACAATTTTTTTTCCACAAATTTAAATGTCTTCAGAATCAGAATTGTATTTATTGCCTTCTTTATTATTACACATAAACATAAATCCAACATATTGTAGCGAACGGATAAATTGATGGAGAAGACATTATCTTTCAGTCCGCAAAACACACATCCAGCTTCCCACAGCAGCTCTCAAGCTGGGCACCGGTTCACTCACTACTCCTTTCATGCTGATACGACAGCAGAGGCACCAGCCAATCAGATCACGTTCATGCTCACGTAAAAGCGCAAAGCTCAAAAATAAAAGATGGCGGACGAAACTCTGTAGAATTGTGAGATCGCACACTAGTGAGATTTCACTCACGCACACCAGTGAGATTTCACTCACGCACGCTAGTGAGATGTGCACGAGTGTTTCATTAGTACGCGTAAGAGTGTCTTAGTAGTGTGCGCGAGGGCATTTCAATAGCGAACGTGAGAGTGTCTCAGTTTCATTAGTACGCGTAAGAGTGTCTCAGTAGTGTGCGTAAGAGTGTAGTTAAGTCGGCCCCTCATAGTTTTTGAGGAGGTACAATTTGTCACTCTAAACTACCCAAAAATGTGTTGCCCAGCACACATTATATGCAATGCAATATAATGCATGACGAGTATTTAATGACTTGTCCCCTATTAGTTGTTGTCAATTCCCATCCCCCCCTCGTCGGTACGCAAAAAATGATCCCTGGGACAAAACCAGTTGAAAACCCCTAGAGGGGTAATATCCTTCTCCACCCTTGACCCTTGACCCGTTTTCATGCCTGCCCAGTGTTGCCACATCCTAGCAACCACCACCTTGAAGATTGCAGTGTGCAATGCTGGTAGCTGAGGTGTGTGAAGTAGTATCAGCTTAAACATTTGAATCTGTGATTAACTTTTTTGAGCTGAAAAAGAGCAGAAATATTATCTACTTGAAAGTGTTGAGTACGGTATTTAGAGTAGTGCTATTACCTCCGCAGCGCTCTAAAATCATGACATACGCCAAAAGCATGTAAGAGAGACCAAAGCTATGCAAACTTTACTCCACTATAACTTACATACCCTCTATCGAAAGCGGTTGTGTAACCCTGTGAGCTCTGTCACAACAACGTTACTTTCAAACAATCTACTGACTTAGCTCCCTTATGAGTTAGGCTCTCGTCCAAAACAACAACCACAACACCCTCTCTCCTTTCCCTTACATCCTGTTGTCTTCCTCATCTTAGTCATTTTAATATTTTACCAATGACAGTGTTTCTAAATATTTTGGTTTGTTTTACAGAGGCTCTGGATTAAGGACGCCAGCCGTGTTATGATTCATTTTTTATTATTGTATACATGCAGCATATTTTATGTTTTGTTCTTGGTTACAAACATTTTTGTCTTAAAGGCATCTAATAAACTCCAACCACTATGACCGAAATGAGTTTGGTTGTCTTTCTTTAATTTGTGGGGAATTAAATGCAAAAGTATACGGTTTTAAGTAAACTTTAACATTCTGGTATTTATAACACAAAAACAATAATCCTATGGTAACAAACTGTAATCTAATATACGGCAACATACCTAATATTACGGTAGGGCACTGTAAATAAAACAGTAAGTTACTAGCGTCGACTGACAGTAAATTGCAGTTAATTTTGTGTGTTTGTGTGGAATGCATTTGATGTCGATCTGATTTACATATTGAGAGAAGTAAACCAAAGTATAGACATTTTTACTTCCTGTTACCAGTAGATGGTGCTATGACTTTGGTTAAAAATTCCATTTACATGTCTTCAGGCCCAGAGTCTCATCAAACATGTGAAAATTGGAAAGGATCTGATCATGTGGAGGATCAACGGTTTATTTTTTCTTGGCGAAGGATCAACTTTGCCGATGCAACCACTCATCGCCGTTTATTGAATTCTTACAATATTGACAGTGAAGCATTATAAGGGTTAACCTGTGTCAGATTAGTCTGTGGAGCAGGATGTAAAGTAAAAACATTTAACTTTCTCTTGCCACCAGATCGCCTAAGTCTAAGGTTAAAAATGGTCGTATGGATGTCTACAGGGTAAGATCGTCATGCCATATGAGAAATATGGAGCAGATTAGATAAAGTGAACAACTTCAACATCACAATTTTTGCCAATGCTCTGCGTGCACATAATTAAATATTTTTGCAAGCTTTATGCAAGGCAAGAATCTCAAGATCACATTGCCCAAATTTGAAAAGATTCAGAATTAATCTCTGGGGGGAGTTCGGTCTTTTACAACTCCAAAAAAAAAACAATGATATTAAACAATTTAAAAGCAGAGAACACATCCTAATTAGGGTGTGTTCAGGGGTTCAATGTTTACACATGTTACAAATTTGGTGAGGGCATAATTCATTGAAACACAATAGGTTCTTTAACGACGTAGCATGTCGTAGCAAAGACCTTAAACAACCCCGGGAATGTGTGTGTCCTGGACCAACTCCCATCGGACCCGTCATTATTGATCTAATGCAGCTAGCTTTTTCCAGTTTGCTTCTAGACACCAGCAGCCAGGCTTTTATGTAACCCTGTGCTGATCCCTTCTCCAGTTTTCCACTGTTACCACAACTAGCAACCGGGGAGTGGGAAGAAACATGGAAACAATTTCCAGGCCCTGTGTGTATAAGACATGTAGGAGCAGAGCAATCCAGGTTAGAGGCCCAGCGCAGAAGTTCACAGCTAACTTGTTTTCTTTTTATGGAGATGAAGAGGAGTGCCTCTACATATGACATCACAAGAAACTTGAAACCGTCATTTGCAGTAGCCCTCCTACTCACTGCTTGCTCCCACATTTGCTCCCCACTCCCTGAGTGTTCTGTTCTTCTCTGTGGGTCTTCAACATCAGACCATGGGACTATTTTCACAAACCCCACCTCTGATTCCAGGACTTCACCACACAAGTCCCCCCCTCTGCTTTAGAGGGGTCCTGTTTCCTGCTATACAGGTCAGTCCTTGACTCCTTTCTTCTGGTTGCGGTAGAATTGCTTTGCTGCCACGTGGGTTGGCTAGTTGAGGGGTGGGGGGAGGAGAGAGGGTCTGCTCAGGAGTGAAGGACCCGAGGGAGAAGAGCTTAGCTCTGTTAATCAGTGTTTACAGGCTTCGCCTTTAAAAGTAGTTGTTATTCCAGGTTCAGCAGCTGTGCTCCGATGTGGGACAATTCCAGTTGAGATCATGGTTGACCTTGCTCAAAGTTACTTAGCAGTCCAGAAATAAGCTTGAGAATTTGTCTAATCACAATTTCCTATTGTTAGTATGATTTCCTAATAATTTCCAGCCAAGCGAATGTTGTGTTCACATACTTAGCCTGACAGTGGCATGTTCTATTGTGTTATTATTTGTGCCATTTCATTTTTCAAAGACTATGTGTATGGATGGTAGATACCAGTTCCAGGTGCAGATCATGTTCTGATAATAGTAATAAATAGGTTTAAAAAATAATTTAATGCATTGGTGCTTGAATCATGACGTGTACAGTATGTGTGTGTCAACCCACAATAAATAGGACTCAATCCAACTCAGACCCAAACCAACCGTGTGATGTGACCGTCTGCAGCTGATGCCTCACGCCATACTGTAGAATAGGACACATTTTTAAAAGGACACATGCAAAGGTGATAAGTATTATAGAAGCTGCAAATCCACACAGTCCAAGCTTGGAAAACCAGGCAGGGCCTCACTGTCACACATGTCCTTTCTGTTCACTCTCACCTCACTGTGTGGAGGACTCTGTGCGGTCTGTGGTGTGTGTTACAGGCTGCCTTCTGTGCCTGTGTCTGTGGGCAAATGTATTTTTGTCATTAAATAAAAAACATTTTTACAAGTCTTACTTTTAGAAAAGTGGGTTGAACTGAGAGAATGTTCCTTCATGGAACATTACAGCATTATAGGAAAGATGACCATTAACTTTCCCTCCAGTAGTGTGATGCTTGGATGGATATAATACACAAAACACAAATGGAAATGTAATAAACACAAATATATTTGGTCATGTACAAAGTAAACAAATGAGAATCTATGAGCTTTAGAACCGATAAGAGTATATTGTTTAACTTTGGTTAAAGCCAGCCTGTAAAGTTCATTCTGAACATCAAGCTCTCAAAAAGAAATGCAAAGGGTTCTCCCAAAGTGTCAAACTGTCAAAGAGTGTTCACTCCATTGGATCAAACCCTCATGTGGGAATGGTAGGATCGTACACTCCTGCAAAGTTTGACTTGTTTTTGTAGCACGAACAAGGCCTTAACATTTGATTCCCAATGACCTTTTGTAGTTGTTAATGCGTCTCTGTCCAAAAAGAATTGGCAGCAAACTCTTTAATGTGATTGGTGCACAGGATGGGTGGGTGCACCTGCATCACGATGAGTTGTACTGTATCAGGTGAGTAGGTCTCTTATCTTCTGTCCTGCTCACAACTCTTAAACTGATTCTCTCTATAGAAAAAATGGGTTCAAATCTGTGAAATAGTCTGAGCTGCATAAATGCCATAAGACCTAACATACTAACTTGATGAATGATGCATTGTATGGAGTTTAGAAAATTTCACAAACCCAGAACCCAAATCAATGTCTTTTTAACATAATTGAGCATATGGTGCAAATTGTGAGATTATCAATGTATTGTCTTTGATTTTGAGCACACACGCCTCATTCCAGAGTGAAGTTATCTAAAAGGTTTCTTCTCAATGTACTGCCACCACCTAAACTGCGAAACAACAGCATAATAAGTTCACACTGTTTCATTGAGTTCTACCTGTGAAACATGAATTCAAATAAAGCAATGCCAATGAAGTGCATGGAAATTTGAAAAGCGTCTCGGTGTAGAGACAGTATTTACAAATAGAGTCCATGTGACAGCTACTGTATGTCAACGCCTGAGGAACCAGCTCAGCGCTGTTTGCACAGCAAGGTTATTCTCAGCTGTTATCGCTATCTGTCGTTCGTCAAGTCTGCAGGTACGAGGTATCCACAACTGGAGCCATCTAAACGTGGCGCCCCTGCGACCTCTTATCGGTACAGGCACTCTTTACTGGCTTTAGGAAATGTTTTAATATAATTCTGAACGGTTCAGTTCTGTTGGTCACTTGTTACATTTTATATCCGTAAAGAGCATGCACAGTTTTATTGATGATATTTACTCTATTTTCATACAACTTGTATTAAATTAATTGTGAAATATATGGCTAAATTGGGCGGCACGGTGGCGTGGTGGTTAGCACTGTTGCCTCACAGCAAGAAGGTCCTGGGTTCGATTCCAGTGGCCTTTCTGTGTGGAGTCTGCATGTTCTCCCCGTGTCTGCGTGGGTTCTCTCCGGGTCCTCCGGCTTCCTCCCACAGTCCAAAGACATGCTCTGGGGATCAGGTTAATTGGGGACTTTAAATTGCCCGTAGATGTGTGAATGTGAGTGTGAATGGTTGTGTGTCTCTGTGTAGCCCTGCGGTTGGCTGGCGACCAGTCCAGGGTGTACCCTGTCTATCGCCCGAAGTTGGCTGGGATGGACTCCAGCCCCCCCCCGCGACCCTGTGTGCAGGATAAGCGGTTTGACAATGGATGGATGGATGGATGGCTAAATTGATCAATGATTGATTTTGTAATCGTATCGTCTGATCTGAGGCCGCATGTTCTGGACACTCGGGTAAAGAGAGGGGCAGAGCTGTCAACTGATCACCATCTGGAGGATGGGGGAACACTCGGGACAGACCAGGTAAACCCAAGCATGTAGTGAGGGCAAACTGAGAACGTCTAGAGGAGGCCCCGGTCCAAAAGATTTTCAACTCACACCTCCAGCGGAGCTTCTCTCACATTCCTGTAGAGGTAGGGGACATTGAACCAGAGTGGTGTATGTTCAAAACCTCCATTGCTGAAGCCGCAGCAGTGAGTTGTGGCCTCAAGGTCTTAGGTGCAACAAGGGGCGGTAACCCTCGAACCTTGTGGTGGACACCGGTGGTCAGGGAAGCTGTCCGACTGAAGAAGGAGGCCTTCCAGGTTGTGAGATCCGGTGGGACTCTGGAGGCAGTTGCAGTGTACCGACAGGCTTGAAGGGCAGCAGCTTCTGCCGTGATGGAGGCAAAGCAGCGAGTATGGGAGGAGTTCGGGGTAACTATGGAGAAGGACTCTCGGTCGGCACCAAAGTGCTTCTGGGAAGAATATCGCCTGTTTGACCACAACTGAGGAGGATATCGGGGCGGTGGAAGGAACACTTGAATCCAACTATTACGCCCTCTTTGTAAGGCGGAGCTGGAGACGGAGGAGGGACCATCGTCATTTGCCTGGTGGAGGTCACTGAGTAGTCAAACAACTCTGCAGTGGCAAAGCCCCGGGATTGATGAGATCCGTCCAGAGATGCTAAAAGCAATCGGTGTTGGGGGCTGTCTTGGATGACATGCCTCTTCAACATTGCGTGGAAGTCTGGAACAGTGCCAAGGGGCAGAACGGGGTGGTGTACCCCTCTTCAAAAAGGGGGACCAGAGAGTGTGTGCCAATTACAGGGGTATCACACTACTCAGCCTCCCGGGTAAAGCTCTACTCCAAGTTGCTGGAAAGGAGGGTTCGGCCAATAGTCGAACCAAGGATTGAAGAGGAACAATGCGGTTTTCGTCCTGGTCGTGGAATGACGGACCAGCTCTTTACTCTTTCCAGGATCATTGAGGGGGCCTGGGAGTATCCTTATCCAGTCTACATGTGTTTTGTGGACTTGGAGATGACCCGGTCCCCCCTGAGAGTAACTGTGGGAGGTGCTGTGGGAGTACGGGGTGAGGAGGTCCTTGCTTGGGGCTATCCAATCCCTCTACGTCCAAAGCGAGTGTTTGGGGGCTCTGCAGTAAGTCGAAGGCGTTTCCGGTGGGGGTTGGCCTTCGCCAGGGCTGCGCCTTGTCACCAATCTTGTTTGTGGTCTTCATGGACAGGATATCGAGGCGTAGTCGGGGGGAGGAGGGTCTACAGTTTGGGGGGCTGCGGATCTCATCGCTGCTTTTTGCAGATGACGTGGTCCTGATGGCATCTTCCGTCTGTGACCTCCAACTCTCACTGGAGCGTTTCGCAGTCGAGTGTGAAGCGATCGGGATGAGGATTAGCACTTCTAAATCTGAGGCCATGGTTCTCAGCAGGAAACCGATGGATTGTCTACTCCATGTAGGGAATGTGTCCTTACCCCAAGTGAAGGTGTTCAAGTACCTCGTGGGTCTTGTATACGAGTGAGGGGAAGATGGAGTGTGAGTTTAGCCGGAGAATCGAAGCAGCGGGGGCCGTATTGCACTCGCTTTACCGCACCGTTCTGACGAAAAGAGAACTGAGCCGGAAAGCAAAGCTCTCAATCTACCGGTCAATCTTCGTTCCTACACTCACCTATGGTCATGAAGGATGGGTCATGACCGAAAGAACTAGGTCACGGGTACAAGCGGCCGAAATGGGTTTCCTCAGGAGAGTGGCTGGCGTCTCCCTTAGAGATCGGATGAGAAGCTCAGCCATTCTTGAGGAGCTCGGAGTAGAGCCGCTGCTCCATTGTGTCGAAAGGAGCCAGTTGAGGTGGTTTGGGAATCTTGTGAGGATGCCCCCTGGGCGCCTCCCTAGGGAGGTGTTCCAGGCACGGCCAGCTGGGGAAGACCCAGGACTAGGCGGAGAGATTATATCTCTGCACTGGCCTGGGAATGCCTTGGGATCCCCCAGTCAGAGCTGTAGATGTGGCCTGGGAAAGGGAAGTTTGGGGTCCCCTGCTGGAGCTGTTGCCCCCGCGACCCGACCCCGGATAAGCGGCTGAAGATGGATGGATGGCTAAATTGTAATAATGGTAATGGCCTTTACTTGTATATCCCTTTTTTAGTCTTCTGACCACTCAAAGCTTCCAACCCATTCACCCATTTACACCCATTCATTCACATATGAGAAGAGTACACCTTCTACCAAGCTACCAAGGACACATCAACACACCAACTAGCAGTTAAGGGGATTGAA